GAAAGGATAATTAAAACATACCAGGAGGCCCATAGTTGCAAACGGTATTCCAGCGCAGATGGTTTGAGCACTTGACAGTAGCGCAGCCGACAACGGTAGTGCCCTTCCACACGATCTGGGTGAAGTGACCCCATTTCGAGAAGTTGCTCATGTCTGGGTTGGCTTGGCCGTACATGCCAGCGAACAGGCCGGCCTCGTCGTTGTACATCATGTTTGTAATCATCTTGCCGATGTCCTGGGGTGGGATGCCGTAGCCGATGTTTTGGCCGTAGGACTCGCCGCCGACGGAGCTGGGAGAGGTGTCAGTTCACATTTGGCTTCCTTTTCTTTTTCATTTCATTTTTTTCCTCATTAGGGAATAAATTGTCTACTCACGTATCATGTTCGAAGACGCATTTGGAGGCAACGGTGTGGGCGTAGCTGGCCAGGTTGTTGGCCCAGGTGAGGGCGGGCGCGGAGTGGTTGGAGCGATGGATGTTGTGGTGGTAGAGCACCTTGGATTGGTAGTCATTGCCGTAGGTTGGGGGGGGAGGAGGAGGCTTGTTCACTGGCTCCTTTGGTGGTGGTTGAGGTTTGGGCTGGGGCTCGGGCTCGGGCTCGGGCTTGGGCTCGGGGGCAGGAGGGGGGGCAGAGCCCTCATCCTTGGGGGGAGCATCAGGAGCAGGCGCCGGGGGAGGAGTGGGAGTGGGAGTGGGAGCGCCGGCAGTTACGTATTCGGTGACGGTGACGATGGTGAGATCGGTCTCGTAGGCTCTGGGCAGGAGCGGGGAGGAGAGCGCACCGGCGGCCAAGAAGGCAGAGAGGAGGAGGGAGGATCGCATGGTTTCTAGTTTCTGATATTTGAAATTGTCTTGCTCTTTTTCCTTTTCTTTTTCTTCTTCAATTGTTTCCCTTCTACCCAAGTAGGAGAGATATCAATAGAATATAAAAAAAAATTGTCGGGGTCGTAGGGGACGTCGTCGTCAAGTCGTCGTCGTCGGGTGTTGGGGATATCAGCCAGGACAATATAGGGGGTCACGAAGGAAGATTTAGAGAAACGAAGGACGCGATAATTGGCGACGTTCTTTGATGATTGTCTTTCTCTTTTGTAATTTCACACACACAGATCAACTGTGAGCGATGAGAGGGGGGAGGTGAGGGAGAGGAAGACAGAGAGGGGGAATTGGACGGGCGGAGAGCAGAATCTGACCAAGGCAGACGGAAGAGAGTGTATACAAGTTTTCCTGGAGGAGGCAAGATTCTGACACACGCGAAAAGGAGTGACGAGAACAGCAAGGAGGCAAGCAGGTTGGCAGGCGCACTTTGAAAGAGCGAAAAGTGCACAGCAACAAAAGGATGGAAAGCGAAGAAGAAGAAGAAGAAGAACGCGGGAGAGCGGGCAGGGAAGAAGCCGAAAGGAGAGGCGGCGGTATATATGTAACTAAAGGAGAGGAGAGAGTAAGAGAGAATAATAGAAGAGAGAAGAGAAGAAGAGAAAGAAAGACATTACGCAGCGTAACTATGTCAGGAGGACTATAACTGGCTAATGTCCGTCGTCGTCTCCCAGCGAACGAGGGATGTGAAATGAGCCAAGCCCGCGGGCTGGGCTGGGCTGCGATGGGCTGCAACCGGGCTGCAACCGGGCTGTTCTTAGGGTGTTCTTAGGCTGTGATAGGCTGCTATCGGCTGCTATAGGCTGCCATGACAGGCGGGTTCCTGGTTCCTGGCAGCGTGAAACAAGCCAGGAGCAGCCCTGGAAACCTGGAAACCCCCCGTCCAGCAATAAATAATACTAGATACATCCATACATCCATACGTACCAACACGATGGGAACGGAAACACGAGGGATTGTTTCACTCTCATCAAAGTATACATCGTTTTCTCTTTATTAAACATCAAAGTTGACGCACACTATCATATTAATGAACAATACATACATACATTCCACTCGATGCCGGCATGGCATGTTCCTCCACATTAACTTAGCTCCTGAGATTGAGATTGACTCGGCGCCCGCCCATGGAAACAGCCCGTCTTAGCCAGGTACCGCAACCTTCTTGTATATACGGTACTGTGTCTGTACCAGGGTTTTCCAAGCGGCCTAGCCTCACACTAATCAGCCCCCGGCGCCCCACCGCCCCGAGCCTAATAAGACAGGCTACGTTCGTGCGTGCAGCTGCCAAGCGACACGGAAGATTAGCAGCTGCACGCCCGCTCACGCTTCCGTGGATATCAGATAGGGATTGGAGACTTCAGACAGATCAAGTCCTGTGGTGTGTGGAAGTCGAATACATATGTGTATATATATATATGCCTACAGCTTGATATCCTCGCTATTAACAGACATATGCTCATTACATCTACATGTACATGTACTGTGTACGTATACAGGATCTAGGTGTGTTCACAATCACCTGTCAGACTGATACATGCCTGGCCTGCCCCTCCCTCCCAGTCGCTGCAAGTCAGGGGCCTGTCTTACCCAGCTTTCCAGGACCAAGTCCCCTGCCAACCACGCCCTGGCTGCTGGCCCGTTTGCACCCACTGCCGCCCTCCCTATTATTGGCTGGCCTCGTTAAATGAGAAATGTGCTGGTCGTTTTTTATTTTCTTTTTTTGTTTCTTGGTTTTGGTTTCTGACAAACCTGTATTCCGTTTACGCAGTTTATTTTACAACTCCAACTGGTTGTCACAGTACTCCGTACGGAGTACAGAGTATGCGCTGGACCCTTGCTGTGATGTGATGACGGTGATGTGTTTCTCTGCCAGCCAGTTACGGAGTACGCTGTACGCAGCGCACGTGTACAGTCCAGTCAACACCGATCCCGACCAATCAAGTTAGCCTGTCCGTTTTCTCTCGTCTCATTTGATGAATAATGAATGTCTTGCATCTCACGCAAGTTGGTGGGATTTGAGATTTGTATTTTGGATTTGGAAGGTCTGTTAGTTTTGGCCTGCTGTTTTTGTAAGAGATTTTTTATCCAGTAACTTACAACCCATCTAATAACTGACTCCTTCCATCATATCTTCAAAGAGGACGATAAATAATTTTTCCCAACAATGCGAAACAATTCCCTCCTACTCCGTACGTACAACTTTTTATCAATACCATTGTCATGCAAGAGAAGAAGGGAAAAAAGCCGAAACGGCATTCGTTTGTCCAACCGCCCTGCAGCTCCTGTCCGTTTCAGACCAACAAACCTGTCCACGTTCATGGGATTTTTTCTTTTTTTCTTCTCTCTTTTTTTTTTCCCCCTTGTAACTAGTTAGTGGTGGACCTTACTTGCCCCCACCACCAAGAATTAAGATCAAGGATCTGGACTTCGATCTCGCCCATTTTTTTGAAACAATCCCACAAAACCATCCATATCCATATCCTGGGGAAATACTTCATTTTTAGTAGCTAGCTAACTTGCATGAATAATAATGGAGTGATGTATGTACTGTACATGTGAAGTACAACGTGTCAAGCACCGAGGAAACATAGAAGAAGGGAGATAAAAAAGAAGAAGCTGAACCTTCCATGAGCCGTCAGTAGTTATCCTTTAACAAGTTAATGAATGCACATATAGGCGTACGGAGTACACGTACAGTACATGTGCTACCTACCCTACCCGGCCCGACCGGGTAACTACTACTAGGTAGTTAGGGCCTACGGGCCTTTGGAGCCCCGACTGATCGCCATCATCAATCTCGTTTATCCACAAGAGAGAGATTAATTGTAGTTAGATGGATCGAGGAATTGGCCGAAATCTTGCCCCGTCAAATTCCTTGTCCTTTTTCCTCTTTTTTGCCTTTCCGGTGTCTGGGCCCGCGAATATACTGTATCATTGGGGTATGAAATTGTTGCTCCTTGCCATTCCCCTCGCCGTTTCAAATAACCTGGTTCTTGATCTTGCCTGGGATTATCTACTCTCTACGGAGTATGTATGTATATATACACACCAGACATCATCTCATCCATTATCACAATAGATATAGCGTATGCCATCTGTCTTCACCTCATCCCACAAATGTGAGACGGGAGATTGATGGTGATCATGGTGATCATGATGGCGGCGATGATGATGTGCTAATTGAGCAAGATAAAAGCCAAAGCTCGTCGACTGACCAGGCTAGACTAGACTTGCCTGATGGAGTTGAAAAGTAGTCATTGACCGGTGTAGAAAAGCAGGATGAAGAGAATGAATTAATGGAAGAACGAAATACTTCTGGTTCTTCTTCTTTCTTGCCTGCCTGCTTGCCTGCTTGCTCTCTGACCACATCTGAGACCGTATATAAACAGGAGAGGGGGAGGATTATGAGCCAAGCAGCCTACCCACAGATCATCTTTTTTTAAAAGACCTGGTTTTTTGATCAAACTCCCTTATCACAGCCAGGCAATGGATTCTCGACGATGCCAGAAATAATGAGGGAGGCATTCATTTACTGCAGCTTCGGATCTATACTTACCAGCAGCAGGATGCAGCGAATTTTTTACATTTGAGACAGCGCCCAGAGAACCCAATAATGCATGCGTTTTTGACAAGGATTAAGCAAGTTACAGTACTTGTTTGAGCAAACCCATGGAAAGAGATGATTAGGTAGTTAGACAGTGATTCTACACAACAACATGCGAGTTGAGAAATTATTGTACAGTACATACATACGTACGGATTAGATAGACAGGTAGGAGTATGAATACATATTGGAGTGGTTGCATCATCATGACATAGCGAACCGAAATAATCCAAACACAAAACCGAAAACTAAATAAATAAAAAATAAAAATAATACCAGGTTCAAACTTGTTGGTTAGGGGTCAGCGCTTTTTGTTCTCTTGCGTCTCACTTGCATCTCAAATCTCAAGTCTCGATATTTTCTCTCTCCCCTCAGCCTGCTAGTTACAGTTATTTTATCAACCCAAAAAGGAAAAAAGAAAGAAAAGAAAAAGAAGAGGGGTTGAAATGAGACCCAAAAAATAAAAATAAAAATAAAAATAAAATAATATAAAAAATTAAAAAAAAAAAAAAAAAAAAAAAAAAACCTCCAACTGTTAAACATTTAAAACATTAAAAGTCCGTTTAAAGCATATACAAACCCCCTTTTAGATATCAACAACCCGGCACGACCCCGCCTCGCAGACAAGCAAGTAATTCTTCCCAGGCCGTACATCCCTCAGTAAAATATTGCGTCTCCGCAACCAGCTGGATTTCCGCACGCTATCTGACACAGCAGCATCACTATCGCCGGCGGTACGTACATCGATGATAGAAACGGCCGCAGTGGACGTGGACGCAGCCGCCCCGGCCTCCGCGCGTGCCCTGCGAATAACCACCTCGCGCGCTAAGAGAGGAGAGGCCGTTACTACCGGCACGGGCACCGGCGCCGCCTCGCCCGCGGCATTCTCCTCCATCTTCATCTCGACATCGCCCGCATCCTCGCCTTTAGCTTCAGCGGCTTCGCCCTGATCACTCTGCCCAATCACGCCCACAATCCCCTTCACGCCCACCTCTAGCCCGACAATGACATCCAGCAGCCCGACGAAGAGGAATGGGTGCTGCATGATCTCCACTGCGAAGGCGTTGACGGTCTCCCGCGCCAGGCGCTTGTAGGTGTCGTCTTCGAGGAGGGTGGAGAGGCGGAGGAGGTTTTGCGCTATGACGCCGTTGGGTGAGGGGGTTGAGGCGTCTGTGCCGGTTTTGAGACGGAAGAGCGGGGCGGGGTGTGCGGAGGCTTGATGGATGGTTGAAGGGGTGGTGTAGTAGCCTGTAGAAGAGGATGGGGCTGGGGTGGATTCGGTGGTTATGCTGGTTCTTGGGGAGGGGGTAGGGGTAGGGCCTTGGGCGAGGAAGTATGTGTTTAGGTATTCTGATAAGGGGGGAGTGGTTGTTAGATTGATCAGTTTTGATAGGACCACATTATTTATATCGAGGGTGGGTGATTTTTGTGAACTTACGTTGTAGCTGCTCTGCAAATTGCAGATAGCCATCATCAAACGTCGCTTCGTAGAGATCAATAAGTCCAGAGGCGAGATATGAATAGTCGTCAGCGAAGCCGGGAGTATCCCCCCTCTCACCGTCGCGGTAGATGCGCCAGAGTTGACCGGATGCAGGGTCAAAGAGGTTCTGCCTGATAAACTTCGCTGCGTTCTCCGCGGCCAGCCTGAATTCCTGTGCCTTGGCTCTATCCACATTCTCAAGTACAACACTACATTTGGCCAGCGCGCCGATGGCAAGCCCGTTCCACGAGACGATAATCTTATCATCTAGCCCTGGACGCACCCGCTTGCTCTCGCGATATTCACGCAATTTCTCTCTAGAGGCCTTGATAATCTTAACAACCTCCTCCTCGCTTAATCCGAACTCCTTCGCAAGTTTTGCGGGGGTAACTTTGATGCTGAGAACGTTTTGGTTTATGAACTCATCATGTGGATCATTTCCTCGCGCGACGTTTCCATCTGGTAACACCCCCCAGTGACGAGCACATACGTCCGCATCTCGCTGGCCAAGAATCTGTTTGAATTCCTTATGTGTCCAGACGTAAAATGCCCCTTCTCTCTTGTCCGTGTCGCTCGGGGTGGGTAGGCTGTCCGCGTCTTCTGATGAATAAAAGCCACCTGTCGGTGACAATATTGGCGGACTTGTGATATATGTTGCGATATCATATATGGCACCCAGTAACTCCGGGTTGTGAGCAGAGTCAAAAGCGTCAACGTAAACATTCAGTAGCTGGGCTTGGTCGTAGAGCATTTTCTCAAAATGGGGTAGACTCCAGTCTGCCGTTACGCTATACCGTGCAAATCCATGTCCGATCTGGTCATGGATACCTCCCCGGGACATGGAAATAAGGGTTTTAGTAGCCATTTCAAGAGCACGGGAGCATTCATCATACCCAACAATGTCGGAGACGGCACTGGGATATCTAGAAAGATTAATCAGGAAGCTCAAATTGGCCGGAGTGGCGAATTTAGGTGCTCTGGAGAATCCCCCATTGACAGGATCAAACCGCGACGCAAAATGCTGATACGATTCCTCCAGCAGCTCAACCTCAAGATCCTCATCCGCATCCGCAGCCTTCTGCTTAGAGTGGGTACCCTCTTCTGCAAATTCACGGAGCTGCTTCGTAATATCTTTTGCACTTTCACGACACCTCAATTGTTGTGTCTGCCACACATCTCGCAGCTTTTCTAAGATGTCGATGAAGGTAACATGCCCCTCTCCGCCGAGTGCGGGCAACGTACTGGAATGTGGACCCGGCCAGTATGTGCCTCCAAAGACCGGTTCTAGATCCGGCGTGAGGAAAACGTTTAACGGCCACCCGCCAGAACCAGTGGTGGCCTGCACATAGTTCATGTATACTTCATCGATATCTGGGCGTTCTTCTCGGTCCAGTTTTATAGGGATAAATGACTTGTTCAGTATTGCCGCAACTTCAGGAGACATAAAAGACTCTTTCTCCATAACATGACACCCTAAGTCCGAATGTGTCAGTTACGTCGCTGCTTCCAGGGTACAATAACAGGATCGAGTTACCGACAGTGACATGCAGAATATCCAATACTCAGGAAGACCATGCGGTTGAGTTTTTTAGCTAAGGTAATTGCTTCTGAATCCCACATTTGCCAGGCGACTGGGTTATTCATGTGGCCGCGAACCTAGACGAAGAAATTAACACACTTTTTCTATTTGCGTAATAGCTATTCCACCCTTTCTCATAGATTGGTAGGTGTATTCACATAAGGCGATTTGCTCTGACTGAGGCGATTGACAAGCTCATGCGCCAGTCCAGTTCCCGCCCCCGCCTCTGATGCTCGTCTCTGCGATAAGGAAGCCATGCCGACGGTTGCCCTGAAGTTTCGTACAGAGGACCGTCTTCCAATTTTATAAAAATTTATCCTTGCAGCTGAAGATATAATGTTCATAGAACGGATACGTTCCCGTGTCAGTATATATGCGTTTGATCTGAGTGACGATTGTTTAGTACAGTACAATGGTTAATGCGGCCACCTGGTAGCGCCTTGGCGTGGGAAACCAAGGCGTGTGGGTTCGAAACCCGCAGGGGATACATTAAATCCGGAACTCAAGCACCTCAGGTTCCTAATAAATACAGAGGTGTACAAATCGCTCCAACAAATCGCTCTATGTTCCTGGGATGGGAAGTTATTATCGCATGTATTTAATTGTCACTCCTTTGTATTTCCTATGTTCTTGTTATCTTGGCGTGGTCTCAACACCTGTATTTCCTCCTGTATAACCAACACTTGGCCTGTATTTAACATCACGCAAGGACTCATCATAAGCTCCGCTTGCATATATGAGTATAATGGAAGAATAATAATAATAAATAATAGTACAGTACAATGCAGACAGGGCTTCAAGTGTAGGGAGTTGGCAAGGTGCCTCAGTGGAACTGAGGGGAAACTCGTATGTGGTTATTCTTTGTTTTAGCTGTACTCTCCAGCAACGTAGAAGTGCAAGATATAAAAAAAATGATAAGGTGAGGATATTCCGGCCCTCATGCCAATCCTATGCCTTGAGGACGGTTGGATGGCTCCGGCGAAAAGTGATGACTTGCACTAAGAATTTAAGCTGAAATACTAATACCGGCATTAAGTATTGCCGTTCCATCCCTTAATTAAGAGGGTGGGCTTATAGAGGCCAATGCGCCTAGCTAGCCCACTAGCTCACTGCCTAAATCCTAGGTGGTGTGGCCTGGAGATTTATTACACTAGTAAGCATATTTCAGTATAAATTCTTAGTGTGAGACAAAACTTTTTGCAGGGACTCGTACAGAGTACTTCAGTTTAGATAACAGCAACATCGGGCTGAGGAAATCCAATGACGGGAACTGCCCAACTGTAGGCTACTACTGGGGCAAAAGAGCTCAGTCACCACCAGCGCACTGCTGGTAGAAGGGCCGATCAACCCGGGACCCCCAACACCAACAGCATCCTAGCACGTGATATAAATTCTCACCCCACTGGAGAGCTTCAGGTTGCGCCCGAACTGCACAGGATACGATACCATATTAAACAGAATGAGTATTTGTATTTTATTCATTTCTACACAATGCAGCATGGATGAAGACCGTTTGATGATACCCTTGCGGGCTTGTACTGTGAGGCTTCCCCACCCACCATACAACGAATTGCTGTGTCTGATCAGAACATAGCTGTAGAAGAGGATTTAGTGCGTAGTCCACATAACAAGCATCTGGCGCAGGGATTCAACAGGGAGACATTAGATTTTATCTTTCCATTCATGAATATCTTTCATATTTCTTCACAAGTATTTACCGAAATCTAGTCGTGGCCCATCAATTCCGCAAGTTCTCTCTCCTCTTCCTCCGTTAATAGTGATGTAGGGATATCATTCACCTCTTCGTCCTCCTGAGCTGTACTTTCAGCCTTTGCTTTGGCCGCTTCAAGCTGAGTTGGGTCAAGCGACCACTGTCGTATCGTGGCATCAATGCTGATACTAACAACAGTTGACCCAACTAGTAGGAGCCCACTAACTTCTTCAAAATGGCCAGAGTATGTATGGTGCAATTTTCCAGTCTTCAGCCAGTTAGCAAACGAAATATACCTGAAAGGAAGACGAGAGGAAAAAAGCTGCTAACTCACCGCACGATTCCACACGCGCACTTCCTCATCCCGACATCCCGTTACCACCCAGCCGCCCCGTTCATGCACAACAACATCCCTGACAAAGTCTGGATGTTCTAACGTCATATCTGTTTTCCATTTCGACTCCCTAGAGATGCATTTGGCAGTTTTATCCGCCGAAGCTGTCCATAGGTCGCCATCTGCATCGAAAAAAAGCTTATAAACGCTTGTCTCATGTTCCAAGATTGGTTCTGAAAGGGACTGTTCCTTGAATGGGGCGGAAAGTGGGAAATGTCGAATGCTACGATCACTTCCTGAACTGAAGACAGTAATTCGGGTCGGGTCTTCATCGGAAACAAGAGGGTCGATGGCGAGGTGTAGCACTCCGCGGCTATAATCTCTAAAGACATGTAATCTTTCACCCGTGCGGATGCTCCAGATTATGATTTCACCATCGGCGCCGCCGGATAGGAGTAAATCCTCACCATCAAGCCTCTGGGATACGACGGTCTTTACGAAGTCGGCGTGGCCCTTGTATCTCTGTCTTAGCGTTCGCGAAGCAACGTCCCAGCTCCATATCGTCTTATCCCAGCACCCAGCAAAGATAGTTGTGCCGTCGGGGGAGAAGCAAATACTCGTTAATGGGGCAGTCGGCCCCCGATAAAGTGCTGTAGTTTTACCTGTCTTTTAACCCAGATAACAATCAGCTTCGAAGGAGGTTTGAAGACAATAAAAGTAAAAAATAAAAACACATCTCTACCCATACCATGACCAACACGGATTGTGCTCACCTACTTCAAGCACCACTTTTCTGAGAAGCCCTGCACTCTCAGCAACGTAGATAGAGGAGTTGCTGGAGGGATCAGCGACAATTGCTAGTAGTTTGCTTTGAAGTTTGATAGGGTCTCCATTCGAATTTTCTGATTTCTCAGCCTTGCGACGGATTTCCTCCAGAGAAGTGCTCGGGGGAAGTCAGCATCCTGGCCAACTTCAGCTGCGGTATGGGGGGTAGAAGGGAAGACCAACTCTGTCTGAAAGAAGTCATCCCGATGTGAAGACTGAGCCATCGTTGCAAAATAACCCTTCACCTAGAGGCTCACAAAGCCACCTGGGATATCCAGATTGTTAAAATTCCAGTCGAATTGTGTATCCCTCTTTACACTGTGAATTGAGCAATCTTCCTCCCGCCAGGACCCCGCTATATATGGACGTTAGAGAGACAAACAGTACAAACAGCGCTAGTCCTGACTAGGCTAGATCTCCAGCTGCTCAAGCGGCGCTTCCGCCTTCCCGTAGCGAGCCTTTTTCCACAACCAAAACGAGCTCTGCTGGATTTTCACTTCATCTTCCCATCTTCCATCTTCCATCTTCCATCTTCCATCTTCCATCTTCCTCTTCTCCTTCGCTTCCTCTATCCACACAACCTACCCCCATCTCCCTCCACCCCCCTTAATTCAGCTCTCAAATTCGCCTCTCTCACACAATCCCCTCCTGTTTTCATTACCTGTTGTCTTCTTCCATTGTTCGCCTCGTCGCTCCTCTGGCGTTCGAAGTACTGTTCTCTTTCCGCTGAGTTGCGCGACTACGCGCAGAACCTTCATTCATCATGGATATGAACCATTTCATAGGGTCCGTCATTCCCCGATTCCCTTTTTAATCACGCAGCTAAAGGTTCGGGTCTTGAAACTAACACGAGGCCGATAGACAGCGATTTAACTTGATATCGAAGAGTGATATTCGGTTCGAGCGGCTCCTTGATCCCGTTGCTGATCCGTAGGCTCTGGAGCTGACTGGTGTCACAGCTACGTTGGCACTCTCCATGAAATAAACCCAGAGGACTCTACCATTGCCCTGGAAAATGTCATTTCACACGGCACTGAAGGTAGACGTGGCAATCCTGCAGAGGAAATTGCACCGTCTACTAGCGTGTACGAATATATTGTCTTCCGTGGAAGTGACGTAAAGGATATTAGTGTTGCAGAGGAGCAGAAAGAAAACCAGCAACCCGAACCTCCTCAAGTGCCGAATGATCCTGCTATCCTTGGTGTAAGTTAAACCGTACTTTTACTTCCCTTATAATGGTGATTCGTCGTCGAAAACCCACCTAGCCGTTGATCTTATGATGAAACATTCCGGATGTAAATCACAGACCTGTTCTGAAAGCGCAAAACCCCATGTGGATTCTTTCCGTTGCCTTCCTTCTGATCAAGATCTTATGTTATTTATCTCCCTCTTACTACTGCTTTGGAGTCATTGATCCATGATTAACCAAAAGCATTGACAGAGTGGAACGCGACCAGCACCTGCCCAAGGGCCTCCTCGTGGCCAATCAAATCAGTTTCCCCCTCCACCCCCTGGTGCGCGTCAACCACCCCCTGGCTATCCTCAACAACCTCCGTTCCCCGGATATTATAATCCGTATGGGCAGCGGTTTGGCCCTCCCGGTTTTCCTCCTGGTCCTGGTTTTCCTAATGCTCCTTACGGTGCTCCGCAAGGATGGTATCCTCCTCCTGGCCAAGGCTTTCCACAGCCACCTGGTCAATTCCCACAGCCACAAATGCCCATTGGCCCTCCTCAACAGCCCCAGCAAGGACAGCAGCAGCAACGTGCTAGCGGTCCCCAACCTCCCCAGCCGCCAAGTGCACCAAAGCCGACCTCAGAGCTCCCTGTTGGTGACAAGGTGCCTGGCAAACCCGTAACTCCAGCCTCCACCAAACCCCCTCCCCCAACAGAACCAAAGCCCTCCACCCCTAAATCCACTGCTCCTACCACTCTCCCAACGATAGCGCAGAAACAAGCTGCAGCAGCTCCAGTAGCCAGTGTAGCGCCCATTTTGCCAGCTGCAGTTGCAGCTACACCGGCATCTAGCACCCCTTCCAAAACCCCACTTGTTGGGCCAAAAGTTGGAAGGGTTGTGCCTGCTATACCTATTTCAAAACCAGCTGTTCCCAGTATAACCGCTGCAACTGTTACTGGTACCTCAGGTAGCGCTACTACCCAGTCGCCTGTGCAAAATACCCGAGCTACGTCCACAGCGATGCAGGACGCAACCCGGGCGGCTACCGCTGCTGTGGCCGCTGCGATGGCCAAACTTCCTCAGCCTCCCACCCAGGGCTCACAACCGGGCGATCCAGCGGTTGAGACAGTAACCAAGAAGGTGAATGAGATGAAGCCGTTTGACGGGGATCGGGCTCCTCGTGGTGCACATCAAAACACTCGCGGCGGTCGAGGTGGTCATCGTGGAGGCCATCACCATCCCCAGCCTAAGAAAGTTGAAGTTCCCACCACTGATTACGATTTCGAGTCAGCAAATGCCAAATTTAACAAACAAGACCTCGTGAAGGAAGCAATTGCTTCTGGCTCTCCACTTGGGGAATCCGAACATCACGCAGTGAACGGGGCGAACCCTACTGAAGGTGCAGACAAAATTAATGGGACTGGAGCTCACGTAGCCTATAATAAAGCGTCTTCATTTTTTGATAACATCTCGAGCGAAAGCCGTGATCGTGAAGAAGGTGCGCGTGGCAAGACGAGTGGTAGAGAGTGGCGCGGTGAGGAGGAGAAGAAGAATATTGAGACGTTTGGCCAAGGAAGTATCGATGGTGGCTACCGTGGCGGATATCGAGGACGCGGAAGAGGTCGGGGCTATGGTGGACTTCGTGGTGGTAGAGGCGCCTACACTCGAGGCTACACTGGTGGACGTGGACGAGGAGGGTTCCGTGGGGGGAGAGGTGCATCGCAGGCCACCGGAGTTCCAACTTCGTCATAGTCCCTACCGTCTCACTTTCGACATTGTTCTCCCTCCCGCCAATGGATGATCCCGGTTTCTCAATGCTGTATCAAATCGGGATTCCCCTCTTGAACAACGTTTGCTACAATGCTAGGGAGAACAAATTTTTTCAATACTTGACGAATAGCGTTTCTTTCCTAGTGATGATTTGAAATTTTGGAACCTCAGGGTTCTCGCCTT